GGTCATGCGCCGTTTGCGGCAAACAGATTCTAAAAAAAAATCGGAGGGGGAAGAAGTTTTAAAAATGGTGCGGACTTTCCGCACTGTTCGCTTTAGCGGTTACGCCCCTGGGTACATCTGCCCGATCTCAGAAGCTAGATTTGGAGGTCATACTTGAAAGCAGCCAGCAGGATGAGGCAAAAGTTGGAGGCCCCTGAAAATAGGAGGCCCCCTGGAAAAGGAGGCCCCTTGACAGGGTGGCCCACCCACTTTTCATGACGTTCCTACGCCCATGCCATTTATGTCACTTATAGTGCAGGGGGCATCTTCCCCAACGCCAGGGGGCGTCTTTCCCACCCTGTGGGGTAAGATGCCCCCTTTCACTTCTTCAGGAAAATTCTTAATAGCAAAAAAAATATCATATTTCAGGCACGAAAGTGTGATATTTTTGGAGAAAAATGATGTCGGCTTCCGTTGAAAATCCAAGTTTTTGTTTTCCGATCGTCATTTTCGAATAATATATGACATAGTAAAACCCTGGGCATCTTTCCCCACTCTCCCCTACTATAGTCCACCCAAGAGGATATTGCAAACAATAGGTTGAAGTTTTTTCACAAGAATATGTTTCACCGATGGGTACCTACTTTATTACAGCCTGAAAATGTACGAAATGATCTGCTATTTAAATTTGAAAAGTGAAAATGTGAAAACTTCGAATTTTCGGAAAATTACTGGTGGGCCAAATCCTTGAGGCTGGTGGGCCATTTCGGGTCACTGGTGGGCCATTTGGCCCACCAGTTAACATGTTAGCCGAGGCCCTGTCGGCCCGGGCCGACCTGTGCCCCCCCCCTCCAAAAGAAACTTTAGCCTAGATCCGCCCTTGCCGGGGTCCCGGCAAGGTTCCCGGGGCACAGTGCCCCGGTTTACCCCCCCCCCCCCGTTCCGCCGCCTATGCGCACGGCCGGTCGGCGGTCCCCTCATTGACTTCGGCTGTCTACGGTCTGCCACCGTCTGCAACCATAGGTAGGTACCCGCCAGGAGGCTCATAAATACCTATCGAGCGCCGGTCGCGCTTCGAACCCGGACTTATATTAGCCGTTTTCACGACGGCCATCTGGTACACATTTGGTGCACATCTGGTACAGATTAGGTGCAGATTTGGTCAAATCAGGTTCAGTGTGCCTCTTAGCAGAGCAGCTAGGGTCTATCAGCTAGGGTTGCACTAATTGCTTATAGGTATGCCTGCTTTGTCATATTATCAGAGAGCATCATCGATTAAAACACTGAAGTGAATTCATAAAATGAAGATATTTGCTTTAACCCGCGCACCGACGGGGGGGGGCGGATATCCGCCCCCCCTGAGGTTTTTCGCGAATAGCGGGAAAACCGCGGCGCGTAGCGCCGCGAAATTTGGTATGACTATTCCCTTATCAATTTTACACATGGTGTGCAAGTTTGAACCTCCTACCTTTCAAGGTCAGGTCACCAGGTCACTTTGAATGACCCAACCTCAAGTCACTTTTTTGCAACTTTGTCACCGTGCCAGAGCTACAGTAGATGTCGGAGGCCTTTGAAAGTCGCAGGATGTTATTAGGTCATTAGTAGCTACAATTTGTATATCTCGGAATTTTGATATCGGTGACCTAAGGTCAGGTCAATTTCGCGACCTCCCCATTATAAGTCAATTGGGGAAAAATCAACTCCCTGTTTTTACCACTAAAACGGGTCGGAATGGCCCCATATACCATACATGACTTCATATACGATCAACCTTCACTACCTTGAGGTCTGTTTTGCTGTTGGGCAGCTGTGAGGTCATGTGACGTCATCAAAGGTCACCAAAGGTTTTTGGCCAATAACTCCGTACAGGAACAAGATACAGACGCGTGGATGGTCTCATTGTGTTCAGCTCGTCAAGACGCATCGAATGATATACATGATGACCTCGAGGTCACGTGACCTGAGGTCAACCTTTGACCTTGACCTTTCGAGGTCAACATATATATCATTCGATGCGGATTGACGAGAGGATCACGATGATGCCCTTAGTTTGTTCCTATCTTGACTAATTCGAAAGTTATTCGAGAAAAACTCTCTCCATATTTAGCGCCGCCATTTTGACTTTTTCGACCCCTGTGACGTCATCTTTGACCTGACCTGAAAATGACCTTAGTAAAAATTGTAGATCTTGACCGTGCGTATCCGATGCCGTTTACCGCTTGTCGCTATCTTGCTTCGTTCTCGAGATCTCAGGGGGGGCGGTCATCCGCCCCCCCCCCCGTCGGTACTAAGTTGGCGCAGACCCCCGTCGGTGCGCGGGTTAAAAGATATTAGAAGCAGATTTGGTCAAATCAGGTGCATTCACCGGATAGCCCGTCGTGAAAACGCCTATTACCGGGGGAGACGCGTGCTCTAACCACACGGAGTCCAACGCTCTACCACTGAACTCTAATATATAGCGCTCTACCGACTGAGCTACCGGCTACGGGACCCAGTGGCGGCGGAATAGGGGGTGCAGGGGGTGCAGCTGCACCCCCATCGAAAAACATGGGGGTGCAAACATATCTTTTTGCACCCCCAAAATCCGTACAAGGGGCCCGTCGCACCATCCAATACATTTTCTCCTGAAAAGCGGTGATCGGGAAACGAACACTGATGTGGAATCATCCGGGATGTCCAATTGTGGTCAGGAGCGCCCCATGCTAGTCTTCCCCCCCCCCCCAACGGCTAGAAGTGTGCCGAGCCGCGTTTGATGCTCCACGTGGCATCTGAGGGCCCCCACGACGGCCTCAGAGGGCCCTTTTATGACGATCTCTGAGGGCTCCCACGACGACCTTTGTCTCCTGGGGCCCTACAACGGCCACTAAGGGCCCTCATGACGACCGCTGAGGGTCCCACAGAAACTCTGGGGCCCCAAGGAGACTCCAGGGGCCACGCTGGCGTCTGAGGGCCCCTATGACGGCCTCTGAGGGCCCTTACGATGATCTATGAGGGCTCTTACGACGACCTCTGTCCCCTGGGGCCCTATAACGACCACTAAGGGCCCTCATGACGACCGCTGAGGGTCCCACAGGACTCCAGGGGCCAACTGACCTCTGAGGGCTTCTACGACGGTCTCTGAGGGCCCTCGTGACGACCCTAGACCCAACTCAAGTCTGAGGGCCCATTTGGCTTCAGACGGCCCAGCGACGGCCTCTTAGGGCCCCAACACAACCAGGCTGCAGGGGCTATGCTGGCATCTGAGGGCCCTGCAACGGTATATTGAGGGCCCTAACAACGATGGCCTCTAGCGGTCTTACCAAGGCCTCTGAGAGCCCTGCAAAGGTATCTGAGGGCCCATGAAGACCCTCACTATGGCCAAGGACCCTCATGACGACCTCTGATGATCCTCTTGAAGGCTTCTAAGGGCCCTCACAACAACTTCTGAGGACCCCAGGACGGTCCCTGAGGGGCTGAGGGCCCTGACGACGACCTCTCTGGGCCCTCACGATGGTCTCTAAGACCCAACGCAAGCTCCAAAGGCCCACGCTGGCGTCTGAGGGCCCCACGACGGCCTCTGAGGGCCTCGACGCAGGCAGGCTACAGGGGCTATGCTGACCTCTGAGGGCCCTCTTGACGGCTTCTAGGGCCTAACGAAGGCTTCAAGGGCCAACGCTGGCATCTGAAAAACCCTACGACGGCCTCGGAGGGTCTCAACTCAACGCAGGCAGGTGCCAGGAAACATGCTGGTCTCTGAAGGCCCCGCAGAGTTCAGATTCAGAGGATCCAACGACCTTTGTGGACCTTACGAAATACGAAGGTCTCCGAGAGCTCACGCAGGCTCTTTGAATACCACACTGATTCTCAGGCCCCATGACGGGTTGTTGAGGCACTTTATCTGCTCTTGGTGCCCCGTCGCCGGCCTCTGAGAGTCTCAATGACGGAACTTATGGGGCCATGGGCCCTACACCAGCTTTTATGGCCCTACATCGACTCTTGGGACTCATGACCCATAAAATGTGGGTCTAAGCGGCTTCTAAGAATCCCCATGCTGGTTCTAGTAGCCGCAAGCCGAATATTTGGGCTCACGTGCGAGCTCCTGGGACCCCGTGCATACCCCCAGGGGTCTACCTGCCTCTAAGACCCCACTCATACTTTTGGGGCTCAAACGCTTGCCCCTGAAGGCCCCACTGAGACCCCTTTCCTCTAATCAGTACTCCATACCAACTCTTTAGGCTAAACATCGGCTCCTGTGGCCTCCATCCCGGCTTTGGAGGGCCTCCATACAGGTTTTTTGGGGTCCGCTGCCGGTTTCTGAGAGCCCTCAAAAGACTTTCGAGCCTATACTGCCTTCTGAAACCTTTCAGCAACCTTCAAGGGACCGACCCTGATCGGAGGGCTCATTCAGTCTGGGGAGTCATGTAGGCCTCTGGAGGAGTCTCTCTGTGGTCGGTTTCCAAGGGGTTTCTAAACACGGTCTTCTTGGAACGGTCTCATAGGGCCCTCAATGGTCCACTGCGGATCCAGAAAAGTGGTTTGAAACGCTTGCGGGTGGTGGCTAGACTAAAAGATTAGCCGATAAAAAACCAGCTGCATTTGCTTCTTTATGCTTTCATTATTTGAGATAGGTAGGTAGGTACACTGTAATTTCAAACCGTTTACAGAACTTGTGTATATGGAGATAGTTTTCCAAAATCTTCGTTTTTCACGAATCAATAATAATCACTAAAAAAAAACTGAAGGAGGGCCCAAAACTTCCAGAGGGGCCCCTTGAGAAAACTCTGCACCCCCATCCAAAATTACCTTCCGCCGCCACTGACGGGACCGATAGTTTCTGATTCATGCAGCGTAATAAAATTTTGAAGTAGCTCTTGTAACTAAATTCGTTTTTCGATACTGTCGATATTTTCGTCATTTTAGAATAAAAAAGACATGCAAAAAAGGTATAGTTACAATTTGAGAAAATATTATAATTTAGTAGCAAGTTTCAATAAACGTCGTTACTGCGGCATTATTGAAACTGCCAACTGTGTACGGAAAGAACTAGACGCATCTTTAGTTGACGAATCTCTGTGATGACGGACAATTCTTTGTGAATTTATAAAAGTATATTATATTTAGCTTCTAATAACGATACAGGTAAGATAAATACAACAGTGTAGAAGTAAATGGAGTGTGAGGCTGGCGTATATTCCTGCGCTTTCGATAAACAGCCTTGCTTTGTTTGGATTCCCTCGATATTGTGAAAGTAGGTCTAGGTCAATTCTGTCATTTATTATTATGCAATAATATATTTTTATCATATCCAGAAAATATTTGGCCATTACCTCCTTGTGGTTTAATTTGACATGAATTAATATAATTGTTAAAGGAAATAGATCACTTTTAAGTAGTTTTGTACCTTGAGCTGAGACTAGCACAAATCAGAGGGCTGTTCACGGGCCTTGTGTGTGATCGGACCGTATACAGACTCTAAACTCTGCCCACTGCGTCCCTATTTCATCCTTCCATCACCGCACACAGCGATTGCTGTGGTGTGGTCGGTCGGGACTGGCCACGGGACCGTCCACCGCACGCAGCCGTGACGTCAGAACTGCCAACTACCTACCCATCCCCTACCTCCACACCTGCTGCACACACTGCACACACCACACTCAGCATTTTGCAGTGCCCTTGACTCCACAGTGATCACCTCAGGCAAGATATTCCTTTTTTTGTTCCGAAAACAGTGTTTTGTAGAGGAGTAAGAGCACTTTGTAGAGGAATGTGTGTCCTTTGTAGAAGAATGTGGTCACATCATCATCTGCTGATCAGCATGCAGCTGGTTTTGAATTACGTAATATGATTGGTCAACGCATAATAAGATTCTGTGATAAACCCTATTTTATGAAGAATATACAGTAAAGCTAGATGTTAAGGGACAGTTTTGAGGTGTTTTGTTATATAACTCAAGCAGGGTAACAAAACAGTGTCAACTTCCACACTCAGGTTTTTATTTAACCTTCTTAGATGAGGAACTTGATACGACTTGAAGTTTTTCCTGTGCAACTGTCCATTAGCACCCCACTGTCCCTTAACACTGTTTTATGGTAGAACTTCTGATAGTAAAATAGTTAAATTCTTTTTTTAGTATGAATTCTGATCATTTTGCACCTAAAAAGTCATGAAACAGTAGGAAAAAAATTTCAGGGAAGTGGTGTATTCCTTTTAGATGAGAAGGCTCATGAAGGGTTTCATCTTTATTCTTTCTGTGTCAAATAAAAATTACAAGCTGGGAGAAACAATTTTTTCTGTTTAAACTCAACTTGTTAAAAGCATCTAAGGAAGGTATGCCATGTTGTCTAAATTTCAGGGACTGGCACTAGAATTAACACCAAGTTGAACTCCTGGTCAGGCCCGAGAATGTCGAAAACTGGAGAACAAGTTCTACTGATATTTGGCCGGACCGGGACCTCGTAATGGGGCAGCAGGGGCCTGACCAGGGGCAGCAGGGGCAGCAGCCAGCAGAGCTGACTGGGCACATACGCCAGTGGGATAGGCACTCACCGGGACCCCATAGTGGGGCAGCAGCCAGCGGAGCTGACTGGGCACATACGCCAGTGGGATAGGCACTCACCGGGACCTCGTAGTGGGGCAGCAGCCAGCGGAGCTGACTGGGCACATACGCCAGTGGGATAGGCACTCAGCACCAGCCTGCCAACAGGGCTGGAAAACTTCCTATATTACTTCTATAACTTCTATTAACTTCTATAACTTCCTATTCCAGATTGGTTTCAGCATTTGGCATTGGTTCATGTCATCTTTTGCTTTGTTTCAGAGGTCGGCTCTGACACATATCGGTCGAAATGTTCATCTGGGACTGGCTCACTGGTGTTCTGGGCTACCTTGGTAAGTGTCACTGTTGTCTGTTACCAGTTACCACCTCTTACCTGGCTACCTCTGTACTGGGCTACCTTGGTAAGTGTCACTGTTGTCTGTTACCAGTTACCACCTCTTACCTGGCTACCTCATGGTCACTGCAGTTATTACCTGGTTATATGTATCATTGTCTGCATTGCTGCTTGTTTACCTGGTCAAGTGTCACTAAAATTGCATCTCCATATGGGTGGCACAATTTGAAAACCTAGGCACCTAAGCTTTATCAATACTACATTTGGAGTTGAGATCAATTCAACCTTTCATATAATGAATGTGTGTTCAGCGTTCTGTGGTGGCCGTGCTAGGCTGTCAGTTCTCAGTTTGTGCTCTATGTGGGTACCTCCCTGACAGCGCTGTGTTTGCAGGTCTGTATAAGAAGTCGGGGAAGCTGCTCTTCTTGGGCCTGGACAATGCCGGCAAAACCACACTGCTTCACATGCTGAAGGACGACCGGATGGCGCAGCACGTACCCACCCTGCACCCCAGTGAGTCTCGTACTGTACCGTCCCTACTTACCCCAGTGAATCTCGTACTGTACCTACTTACCCCAGTGAGTCTCGTACTGTACCTACTTACCCCAGTGAGTCTCGTACTGTACCTACTTACCCCAGTGAATCTCGTACTATACCTACTTACCCCAGTGAGTCTCGTACTGTACCTACTTACCCCAGTGAGTCTCGTACTATACCTACTTACCCCAGTGAGTCTCGTACTATCCCTACTTACCCCACTGTGATTGCCATGCTATACCCCAGTGATTGGCATACTTTAACTCAGTGGGTGTCATCCTACACCCCAGTGGGGGTCATGCTATAACTCAGTGTCACCCTCTACCCCAGTGAGTGTCATGCCATGCCCCAGTGAGTGTCATACCGTACCCCTGTGTCATACCATGGATGAAAAAACCTGGATAGGAAACTCCTATTCCTTTAACATTACGGGCAGCGTTTCGGGCGATCGACCTGCCACCTAGCGTTTGGTAAGTATCATTACTGGAAACTCCCGCCGGTAAGCATTACGGGCTACGGCCTATGGGGGACGTGGGGCGGCCTGTTTTTAAACGGGTATTAGACCGCAATGCGCATTTATTTAATATTTTTAGGTTTCGAAGCTACTCACCATAGACAAAATTGATTAGGCAATCAAATGAGACCAAAACTATTATTTTCCGTTGCGCACAAAAGTCGTAGGTACACGAGGGCCGAATACAGGCGACCTTGAAGAAGAGGGCCATTTCTATTGTTTTTCTCTTACGCGGCGCCAGTGAGGACGCGGCAGACGCGGCTCCCGCTGCCGCCTACCAGTAGTCAGTACCCACGCCGCGCGCGCCCTCGGGCACTTACCGAAGGGAATGCAATCAGCTGTTAGTTTCCAATCCAGGTTCTCCTGGATAGGACACTCCCTATTCTTTAACACTTACCGGGGTTACATGAGCGATCCGTTCCAAATACGCACTACGCTAATGCGCATCAGCTCCCCACAAACGGATCTACGGCACCGGTTACATGAGACTAATTCGTTTTATCTACGTCAAACGGATCTTGTTTGGCTCACCCGGGCTGACTCCTCGACGGCCGGTAATTCGCATCACAAACGGAATAGGATTAGCGTACAGTCATGGCGCAGTTGCGGCATTTACCGGGACGACTGAGCTAAATTTTAAATACTTATATCATTTGATAGGCTCAAACCATTTAAAATTAACATGAAATCAAAAAATGAAAACAAAGTTTTCTTGTTTTAAGTCAGTGGGCACTGATTCGCCATGCAGCGACAGCAGGGTGGTCAGAAAAAATTATCTATCAAAATATTTCATTCATTTTATTTCACATGCAAAGACTAAACCAAAATACCAACATTTTTTTTTTTTTGCTATTTTCTACGAGGCAGCCAATAAAAAAATGCTTAGTATTTTGCATTTTGACGCTTCCAGTCAGCAAAGAATAGTTCTTGTGAAATACGGCCCGAATCGTGTGCCTCGGACGGTGCCTCGGACGTTTCGGTTACATGAGCGATCCGTTCCAAATACGCACTACGCTAATTCGAATCAGCTCCCCAAGAACGCATTCAGTGCACCGACTACATGAGCAAATTCGTATCAGTGACGTCAAACGGATCTAGTTTGGCTCTCGGCCCGATGCGCATTACAAACGGAATAGCATACAAATTAGAGTTACAAAGTTTTCCCTATGGGCTGCTACCGGCACCGCCCCGCCCCACAAAAATTTTCTGGGATACCGGCATGCTACCACGCCCCAAGCAAAAACACCGCCAAATTACCGGCATACTTAAAAACCTGCATTCTTAATTCTGGCTTACCCCTACTGAGATGCCACATTTTGGCAACTTCAGTTACCGCCCCACCCAGCAGCCACCCATTGTCCAACCAAAACTCCAGCAGCCTGATTTTGGCTGAGTTAGCCCCACAAATACCACAATTTTGAAACTCAACTCCAGTTTACAGCTGTTAAAATATCACCTGGAATCAAAGAGGTATTGCCTACAAAAAGCCTACACACATTCATCAAAAAAGCAAGGTCAAAAAGAACTTGAAGTACTGAAATGTGTTCCTGAAGACTGCACAGTGAGCAGCAATCACATTTACCACAAGCGTTCTTATTTTCCACATTACCCTAAAATGAACTATAGCTAGTCATAAATCACAATATAAAAAAAACTACAGATTAAGCCATGTTCCTAACTGAGGTAGCGAGATCAACATCTGCTTTTTCCTATCCGCCATGGCTTGCTGGCTCGTGAGTAAGATACGAATCATGTAAAAATATGTGTTAATAACTCACTTGTCCTGAGAAGTCACCAAATAATATGTATAAAAACGATATAATATCCTCTCCCATCTCAAACGCAGGAACAAACACAAGGTTATAAAGGATCGAAACATATGCGCCATAACACAGTTTTTAACCAGCTGATTAAAACACTGCAAAAAAAAGTTTTAGGACTGCAAACTACTGCCTCGTGAATGATTTTTTTGATAAAAATCATCCAACACGATATTAAAATCCAATAAAATCAACACTGTGAGTGTTATTCACTACAAGAAAATCCACTTCTCTTGAGTAATTCAACCAAAAGGGCATATGAATAAATATTACGTCATCAGCTTACATCTTTTTTTTAGGGGACAGAGGATCTTAAAAGTCAATCCTTGGTTGCTTGATCAGCTGATCATATTGCGCCACTTTGTATTCATTTGGTCTGCATGTTGTGTTTTCTTGTAAAGATAAGACAAAATGCCAGTTTAATTCATTTTCATTTCATTTTGGGACCGAAGTTAGGCTCAGGGCTTCCTAACACCTGCCTTTTCAGCTGGATTTTCAGTGTCAAATTCTTTGTAGAGTATCTCAGACCACATCTCAGGACTCAAGGCCAGTTTCCAAACAATGTGTTTTGTGTTGTTTTGATTCTGCATTTTGCCTAGGGAATGTTGCCATCAACATTAATTTATTTTATTGCATTATACCTATTACCTACCATTAGACTTACTAATTGGTTGTGCTTTTGCAACATGAATGAGTATTCTTCCTTTGATAGACCACAGTACCTAGATTCTTGACAATTCTTATTAGAGCCAAACCTGTGAAATGCTGAGGTTCATGTGTACAATTACCCTTAGCAATGGAACTTCTACCACAAAATGTATTTTGCAGTGGCTAAGATTGCTGTTATTACAATTCAATAGCCTCTTAGTGTCCAAAGTTTGAATCATTTGCTGATAATTTTTTTTTTTTGGTGCAAAATCAAAAATACCGGCATGCTACCGGCAGAATATGCCAAATACCACGAAAAAACCTGCGGTAGTGAAAAATTACCGGCATGCCGGTAGTGCGGTAGGGAAATTTTGCAACTCTAATACAAATGTGGCGCACTTCCGTAGCAATAGAGGTGACTAAATTAAAAATTTATTATCTTATGTCTTTTTTTGCATTTAATCTGCTCAAAACATTCTCAATTAACTTAACAAAAAAAGTTGAACATAAAGTTGTCTTGCTTTGACTCATTGGGCCATTGCCTCTCTTGATTCGTCTATAGTGCTGTCAGAAAAATGTTTCAACTGAAATTATGTGGATATTTACTATTTGGTTTTCACTATATTTATTGTTGAAAACTTAACAAAATACCGACATATTTTTTTAAAAATATTATTTCAAAGGAAGAAAATGAAAAATACCTATTATTTTGCATTTTAATGTTTCTTTTTGCGAAGAAATAGTTCCTGTAATACGTATCTTGGTCCTATTCGCTTCTAAGCCTCTTTCCCAGCGGATTTTGTTCGGACCGCCGATTCGTATTAGCAGGTGGATACATGAGTCGGTAGTACGCTCCTGATTCGCATTAGCGGTGAATCCGATCGTGATGCGTATTTGCTGTGTTCATGTAACCGCGGATCGGATCGCCGATTCGTACTAGCAGGTGGCTACATGAGTCGGTAATGCGTTCCTAATTCGAATTAGCGGCTAAATACGTATTTACTGTGCTCATGTAACCCCGATAACTGGCGTCGTCGACGCAAGCAGCCGCCCTGGTGGCGGAGCGCCGAAACATCGATGTCAAAGGCACCGGCGGACGCCGCACCGGCGTACGTGCGGAAAACGCAGTAATGGAGAGCGAAATTAGCGAGTTTTAGTTCGTAAGACACAGTTTTAGACACTTTTAAAATATTTATAGTCCTTTCTAATAGTTGGTATAGCTCTATTTAGTCACAATCACATACGGACCCATTACCTGATGCACATAAACTGGGCCGATATTCTTGACTGGCCGTTGCAAATTGTCGCCAAATATCATCGTTCCTCAGCAATCACACAAGCCCTTGTTGATGAATTAATAACTTAACTTATTTTAACTTATTAACTTAATTTCATGTTATCACATAAAAAATAACCTAACCCTCGCCGGACCTATTGGTTTTCTACATACGCACCGGCCAAGGGGGGCGGGTACAACCCCCTCGCCGTTTCGCCCCTGGTGGAGCTAGCGCGTCGCGAAAAAAACGAGCTTGTGCGCCGTTACGAGACGCAGAGATTGATACCCGATTTTAAGGTACTAGGTCAACCGGTGACCTCTGAGGTCAGGTCAAGTGGCCAAGGTACGGTTCAGTTTTTGGTGAATAACTTCGCAAAAAAACGGACACAGAGCCGCGATTTTGGCAGCATCATGTTTGCCTCGCTCAGGCGCGTCAAATGATATACTTTTTGTTTGGGTCAGGTCAACTTAGGGGTTGACCTCTGGTCACGGTCAGGTCAGCGCCCCCAGGTCACGAAGTTGGTCGAAAGAGGTCATGTCGCATATCATTCGATTCGGCAGCTCAAGTTGATCGGGAGTTATTGACGAAAAACTAATATGACCTTGATGACGTCATAAATGACGTCACGCAAGGGCAACATTGCAAAAGTGACGCATCTAACCTTGCAAGGAGTGCATCGAATCACGATTCTATGTGCTTGAGATAGTTGGAGATCGT